AGATAAATAGTGTTCATATCGATATCGGAATTATATCGTATCGACCGAAATTAAGAAATATATCGTGATATCAATTTTGGCCATATCGTCCAGCCCTACGTACAGCACGGCTCATGTTTATATAGCCTTTTTTCTTTGTCAGAAAGTTACCTTGTAGTGATGACATAGGTGAGAAATGCAATAGTAACAGAAAAACATCTTTGAAACAGAACAAACACTGTGTCCCCCTGCAACACAGAAAATGTTTTGTAAGATTGCTTTCAGAAAGCTTGCTTTCTGATCTTTTTGTGCTGATATTGTGTTCTGTAGATATGGAGGGAACATATGCGGAATACTCTGATTGGGCCGACGATGGTGTACCTGAGATGGTCCCATGCCAGTACAGACGTGCCCTGCAACAGTTGGAGAAATGCAAACCTTTCGAGGAGGCTTTGGTAACTGCACACTTATCTCACTGCTGTAGAGATCATTTGGTTTTCTGATTTGAGGTTTCTATTATAATTTAATGTGAAATTATGTCTCTGGCAGCAGCTGTGATGGTAAAAATGGTGATTGTGATTTTAAAATATTTTATAGCAGTAGCCTGCTTGAAGCCAAAATCAGTCTACACAAGTGTCATTTAGAGAATCTGATTAAATAAAACATCTGTGGCAATAAAAGCTCTTTGTACACAAGCATATGCTCATCAGTACCTATTCAGGAGAAGTAAAAAATATGAAATCTAAATTAATCACATTATTTACTTTATTACACATTCCTGGTCTTTTTTGTTTCCTTATTTCTTCATCTTGGTCTTTCAACAAACATTAAAGACTTGAACCATCTCTGGAACAACTTCCTTTTTGGCTGACATCACTAAGGCTGCTTAACCATTTGGTGATGGCAGAAATCCTTCACAGTTGACTGCAAAATCCACACACTTTTCACTATTTAATTGATTCCCGATGGACAAAATCAACTGCTCTACCTTTTGTCCCCTCTTAGAATATCTTGTTTTTCTTGGACATTCGGCACATTAGAGAAACAAAATGGGTATGGTTAGTTAATGTTGACTTTAAAGCTTGTAGTCAAGCTTGTAGTCTTCAGCCTGACAAATACATAAACTAATCAGTGACCCTGTTTGTGTGGCAGTGAAGCAGTTCCCAGAAATTAATATGTACAATTGACACTCAGATTCTGTTATTTAAGCTGCAGATTTTCATATTCAACTAATAATTCACTCAAATCACAGGAAGAACTGAAGTCAGAGAACAAATGCAACCTGACTAGGTTGCTATAGAAAGCGAAGCCTGTGCCATGTTCCCAGAAAGAAGTGATTTTTAATAGTGCATTGAATTACAGTGTACTTCACAAATTGTTTGAATTGATGAAAGAAATGGCTGTTGATAATGTTCAGCTGTGTTGCCCATGTCACACTTAAATTACCCAGTTACTAGGGATGTAACGATTCACTCAACTCACGATTAGATTTGATTTACAATTTATTTATTTTTTTTAATTTATTTTTTTTTTTTTACAAAATGAGATTTATGAAATTATAAACTAAATGTGTCCTTTTATTATTGCTTGGACAAAATGCTGCACGTTTCTTTCTGAAATTGAAATATAACACTATAGTAATATACTAATAGCACTTGCATATTATTGCTCTTTTGTTGGTTTTGATTGCTTCTATTGTCCTCAATTGTAAGTTGCTTTGGATAAAAGCGTCTGCTAAATGACAAAATGTAAATATAATGTAAATGTAAATAACAAAACTAAATTGAAATTTTAAAACAAACCCCAAATCAAATAAATAACACAAATAAAAGAAATCTCTTCATATAAACAAAAGGCTTTGTCTGTGCTCTTTCCATTTAAAATTAGAGGCAACCACTGCATTTTAATCATGATCCAAACAAAGATGCTGCATACATGCAACATGAGCATTTTTTAATCTAAATTAGATCGTATCATTTCGAAATTTGAAGCAAAAACAGAATGGTTTGACTTCAGTTTTGTGAAACTATGCAAAAAAATATCGGCATGAAACAGAAACGGCAGACGAGCTGAATGAGATGCAGATTCACTCTCTGCCAGCAGGTGGCACTTAAAGCGTTTCCTTGGTTTCTGCTGTAAACAAAGCAGTGCTGCACTTATGAACTTTAATATGCTTTATACAGAGGCTAGATGAAAAGAAAAAATACCATCTAAACTTTTTTTAAAACAGTAAGTTCCCCTCAGACATACATTCGTATAAACTCTTACCCCTAATTGAATCGCGATTTCTTTAGCATCTCAACTGGTTTGAATTGTCACATATTTGAATCGATTTTCAACCGGCTCGCGGTTAATCGTTACATCCCTACCAGTCACCAATTAAATAATAAGTTAAGTGCTCTTGCACTCTTTTCATTAGAACAGATGTAATTTTTCTGTATGACTTTTTTTTTCTCCCTGTTACATTCAAAAGATGTTGTTTCTCATTTGAGCTTTCTAACGCTGTTCTTTTTTAATTTCTAGCTGGTCTCTGAAACTCCAAAGCTGGCAGAGTATCAAGCCTACATAGATTTTGAAATGAAGGAAGGAGATCCGGCTCGTGTCCAGATAATATTTGAGCGAGCGCTGGTGGAGAATTGCCTTGTGCCGGACCTGTGGATCAAATACACCACATATCTGGTGAGCGACTCGCGTAAGCACATGTCTGCTTTCACCAAACAGCACTGTGCACAGCTCACAAACTGAATGATCCACACATGTGCCAATCCCACACCTCCCTCCGTTTATTCAGAAACATATTAATTGCTTTAATGGGATGGTAATGAGATGCACAAGCCACAAATGCGCAGCAGTGTAGTTGCAGCTGAGAACATATTAGAAGAGCCAGCACCTCACCAGATGGAGGGAGGGAGAGGGAGGGAAAACGGCGAGTTAACGAGGCAGAAAGAGAGATGGTGGGAGGTGTGTTGGGAGAGAAAAATGAGAACGAGAAATGGAGAGAATGACACTTCCCCATATTAGCAGCCAAAGCTGCAGTCCTTTTGGGCTTTCTGATTCAATGACTGAACTTAATGAACTTCTGCATTAAGGGCTACGGGCTGGAGTGTGTTGGTGGAGCCCATTCAGGCAGTTGAATTCCTGGCAGCTATGGATGTGTGAAGTAATTAAATCAAGCCTTCATGCTTGTACTCTCTTAGGTGATTAAATTGAGATGCTTAACTAAATTATATGCACCTCACACTGTGAGTCACGGAGCTGCTTTGCCTAATGGATATATAGGGGGTTATTACTTGTTTTTGCAAAGTGCTGTATTGTAGCTAAAGCCTCCTATGTAACTGATGACCTGCACCACTTTAGGACCGAGTGTTGGATCAGTTTCCATACAAAAGAATGAACATTTTATTCTATTAACTAACATCCATCCATCACCCATTCAGCTAGAGTATTTGGCTAGTTTTATCTGTCATACTTTAGCACTCCAAATGCTCATCCCTACTAACAAACTTGGTATGCTTTAAAGAACGTTGCAACCATGATTCATACTTCAGCAGATATCATCATTCAGTCTTTGATGAAGTTATTTTGAAGAGCAGTGAGCAGATGTTGAGTTGGCGTAGGTTGTGCAAAGCTGAGATTTTATGCATCTCCCGTTTGTAGAGGCAATATTGCATTTTCCTGAATGATTATTGATGTAAGGCAGTTTCCCACAGACAGATTTATCTTGGTTGTAGATTAGATCTTTCTTACAATGGCAGAGTGATTCCCTGCTTAGTGTCTCCTTTAGCTCGATGCTACATGTAATCTTTGAGCAACGGAGGTGCTTGTAAATGGGTTGACAGCAGAACAGCAGCACTAGATTGGGCGGGGGATTATAATAATTACGGACTACTCATCACACACTCACACCTGCGCTTTCTGAAGCATGTTCTGTGGCTTTGTGGGTGCAGAAGGCAAAAAGACTGGAGACCATTTCTGTGCATTTTAACAAGCAATGCTGTAAAATGACCTATGATCTTAAGCTTCTGTCTTTCTCAAGGCCTGTTTATGCAAGACTGAATAGAAATTGATTCCTACTGTTCAAGCCAGCTTTTGGACAGGATGTCAGGACCTTTCACTGTTTTTTTTTAATGTCAAATTGGAAATGTTCTAAATAGTAGTATTCCACAGTCAGAATGTTTAGGTGATTAAATTTAATGTTTGTGTTTGAGTCAAAGAGCTGCTCTTAGTGGATGTTGGCTTGGTTACTCATCTACTTGGACTGCTAAAAAAAATTCACAAATGATTCTGTGACTTTGCTCATAATTGTTTTTTTCTGTTCTTCCTCAGGATCGTCAGTTGAAAATTAAAGACCTAGTGTTATCTGCTTATGAGAGAGCCGTCAGGAACTGTCCCTGGACCATGGGCCTGTGGAAGAGCTATCTTTTGGCTCTAGAGAGGCATGAGGCTGACCATCAGACAGTGACAGGTACTTACAAAATAATAAATAAATAAATAAAACAAAAGGAAAGGAAAGGCAATATCTGGGAATTCAAAAATCCTAATTATGCTAATCACAATATTGGCTTGACATTTTATGTGAAGTTTCTTTAAATTTATTTTTGAAAGTCCCACACTCATCGGCCACTTTATTTGTTATACCTTGCTAGTATCTAGTTGTGGCATACACTCAAGTTGCTGGATTTGGGTTCATATTGACGTCATAGCATCACACATTTGCTGTAGATTTGTTGGCTGCACATCCTTGATGCAAATCTCCCATTACCCAAAGTGCTCTTTTGGATTGAGATCTGGTTACTGTGGAGGGCATTTGAGCATAGTGGCCATTATCATGTTCAAGAAACCAGTTTGAGATGATTTGAGCTTTGTCACATATGGTGTGTTATCCTGCTGGAAGTAGCCATCATAAGATGCAGTGTGGTCGTATAGAGATGGACATGGTGAGCAACAGTACTCAGGTAGGCTGTGGCGTTTAAACAATGCTCAGTTGGTACTAAGAGGCCCAAATATTTAGATATTTGCCTTAAGCAGTTGAACAAGTTTACCTAACAAAGTGGCCAGTGAGTATATAGTATGAGTAGTCATAAAGTCAAGAAATCAAGCAAGTTCAATGGTCAAAAGAAATGAAAACACTGTTTCCAATATACATTTCTGATGTTCTGACCTGTTCAAGCCAGCATTTGGACAGGATGTCAGGACCTTTCACTGTTTTTTTTTAATGTCAAATTGGAAATGTTCTAAATAGTATTCCACAGTCAGAATGTTTAGGTGATTAAATTTAATGTTTGTGTTTGAGTCAAAGAGCTGCTCTTAGTGGATGTTGGCTTGGTTACTCATCTACTTGGACTGCTAAAAAAAATTCACAAATGATTCTGTGACTTTGCTCATAATTGTTTTTTTCTGTTCTTCCTCAGGATCGTCAGTTGAAAATTAAAGACCTAGTGTTATCTGCTTATGAGAGAGCCGTCAGGAACTGTCCCTGGACCATGGGCCTGTGGAAGAGCTATCTTTTGGCTCTAGAGAGGCATGAGGCTGACCATCAGACAATGACAGGTACTCCAAAAAAAAAAAAAGGAAATATAAAAAAAAATCTTATTCTAGTTATGCTAATCACAATATTGGCATGAAGTCTTTTTGAAGTCTTTGAAAGTCCTACACTCACTGACCACTTTATTTGCTATATCTTGCTAGTACCGAGTTGAACTGCCTTAATTTCTTGTGGCAGACGCTCAAGTTGCTGGAAACATTCCTCTGAGATTTTGGTCCATGCTGATGTGACAGCATCACAAATTTGCTGCAGATTTGTCAGCTGCACATACATTATGCAAATCTCCCATTCCACCACATCCAAAAGTGCTCTATTGGATTGAGATCTGGTGACTGTGGAGGCCATTTGAGCATAGCGAACCTATTGTCATTTTCAAGAAACCAGTTTGAGATGATTTGAGCTTTGTGACATTGTGAGTTATCCTACTGGAAGTAGCCATCATAAGATGGGTACAGTGTGGTCATAAAGGGATGGACATGGAGTTGCTGCCTTGTGATTGGCTGATTAGATATTTGCCTTAAGCAGTTGAACAAGTGTACCTAATAAAGTGTCCGGTGAGTATGTAGTATGAATAGTCATGAAATCATGTAAGTTCAATGGTCAAAAAATATGAAAACACTGTTAGCAATATTGAATCAGTTTATGAATGCCAGAAACAGTTTTCAGGAATGGAACAAATGATTTTAACACACAAGAATTGACATTAAGAAGCATTATAATTTCTTTGTTCTCAGATGTGTTTGAAAAGGCCCTGAACGCAGGGTTCATCCAGGCGACTGATTATGTAGAAATCTGGCAATCTTATCTGGACTACCTGAGGAGACGTGTTGATTTCAGCAAAGGCAAAAGCATATGCCTTTTTTTCTGTCTTATTACTGATCTGCTCTTACATTCTCAAAGTTTTGGCAGCTGATATCAGATGAGTGAATTTGATGATTTATTATTGATGGATTTGTTGATTATTGCAGAATGGAGCAGGGAGTTGGATGAGCTGCGGGCAGCTTTTGCACGCTCCCTTGACTACCTGAAACAGGATGTAGAAGAGAGTGAGTATCGTTCTGTTTTTATGAGGTATGAGAGAGCACACTTGTAGTAAAAAGGCACATATAACTACTATCTCACTTCTCAGGGTTCAGTGAAAGTGGAGATCTGTCCTGCACAATAATGCAGATCTGGGCAAGGATAGAGGTGAGGAAACACTATACCGTTGCATCTGTCCATCCTCCATTAACTAATGTTGTTCTGCTGATTACAGTCTGTCTTTAGTTGTTTCAGTGCTGCTTGTGTTTGATTGCTTTAAACAGGCCTTACACTGTAAGAACATGCAGAAGGCCCGTGAACTGTGGGACAGCATCATGACAAAAGGAAATGCAAAACATGCCAACATGTGGCTGGAATATTACAACCTGGAAAGGTCAGTTGTTTTCATCAGTTTGTGCAACCAGTGAGATGTTTTCACTTCCATTGATGCTTTTTGGATAATTCTCAAATTATGATGATGAGAACATGATCAGCAGGTTTTACGCAATCTTGTGGAGTTCATGCAGCTTGAATGCTGCTGTGATTAAATATTCTGAAATAGAAGAAGATTCATGTTCATTTGAGAGGGGGGGGGTGTACTAGTGGTTTTCACTAGTGGTCTCTGATTTTTAGACACAGCATTATTTTTTGTAATTAGTGGTTCTTAACCAGGATCAGATCAGAAATACCAAAAATATCTTAGTCTATATTGGGGGAGCCTTTGAATATTGTGTTATATGACTGTGTTTTAAAGATGACATGAAACCGCATTCACAACATATTTGACTTCAATAGTGTAACATTTGTGAGTGAAGCTAATTTTTCAGCAAGTAATGTGGGGATAATGTTTATCCATCAGGATTTGACTGGATCGGAAGGGGGTTGTGTGCAATAATACTGGTTAATATCAATTTTCCCTGGTTGTTTGACCTTGGTTATATCAGCAGAAAAATCAATTCAATTTTAGTGATCGAGCAAGTTATTACATTTTGCTGAAATGTTAAGAAAACAAGCATTTTGTTTTTTTCAGAATGATGCGTATTAATAAGTTAGGGTGGATGTTATTTTGATTTCATTTTGTCTTTAAAACTCGCCAGGTAAAGGCTGCATATGTTGTAACTCTTTTAATGTGTTTGTGGATCAGGTCATATGGAGATGCTTCTCACTGCAGGAAGGCTCTCCACAGAGCTGTACAGTGTACATCAGACTATCCTGAGCATGTCTGTGATGTCCTGCTCAGCTTTGAAAGAGTGGAGGGTGAGTTAAATTGATGCATTTATAGATTGCTGTTTATATGGGTTGCCAGCTTTTTAATGTTCATGTGGGTGTTGTCTCTCTCAGGCTCTCTGGAAGACTGGGATGCTGCTGTCCAAAAAACAGAGACTAAAATCAACAGAGTCATTGAGCAGAGAGCAAGAGTAAGTCCTAACTAGCCTTTTAGTTTTTTTCCCATACTTGGCATGCGTTTAATTTTATTTGTCCTTTTTCCTTATGAAAATAACAGAAATAATGTAGCAACAAGTGAGCAGTTATACTGTATGTATCATGTTTAATGTAATTGTCAGCAAGCTTGCCATGTAGACATGTCCTTTTGCTGCGGTTTTTGAGCAGTGTGAATGCTGTTTCTGCAGGTGGCTGAAAAAGAGGCTCTCCAAGCCAGACAAGAGGAGGAGAAAGCCGAGCACCGGAGGAAAGCCAAGGCAGATAAAAAAGGCCAAAAAAAGAGCCAGAAAGCAAACAGAATGGGGGATAAACGGAAAGCTGAAGATGAGTACGAGGAGGAATGGGGAGAGGATGCAGGTATGGGTGAAGAGCTTTTTAAGTTGTGTAATTCTATTGTGTTAAAAAAAAATAAAAATCTGTTTCCAGACAAATTGGAAGTAATTTTCAAACAAAATGTCAATTTGTAAAAGCTAACAGTGTGGTTTAGATTTCAGCTGTACTGAGATACCAAATGTGTGCAGAGCTGCCGTCCAAGAGGCTCAGAGGGGAGGAGGACTTTGGTAGCACAGCCACAGAGGAGCTCATGGAGACAGAAAGTGGGCTTTTCGGCCGACGAGCTCCACCACGTAAAACTGAGCCACCTGGTTTCCGTAAGAATCAGCAGGGATCATCTGAAGCACCGCGACAACCCCAGGATGTATCAAAGGAGCCACGCAAAGATGAAAATAGTGTATTTGTCAGTAACTTGGCTTTTAATCTGGATGACCCAGATGGCAAGCTGCGAACATTGTTTCAGGGTTGTGGGACTGTACAGCAGGTGCGGCCCGTATTTTCAATGAAAGGTGTGTTTAGAGGCTATTGCTATGTGCAGTTTGAGGACCGACTGGCTGTACCTGAGGCACTGAAACTGGACAGGCAGGAGGTGGATGGGCGGCCCATGTATGTGTCTCCTTGTGTGGACAAGAATAAGAATCCTGACTTCAAGGTATCTAGAATGTATACTACTCAATTTGTGACCTGGTGTTTAGTGTTCCCTGATGTTCACAATTTTTTTCTTCACAATTTCTAGCACATTTCTTGCACTTTGGTAATCATTTTTAAAATGTTAATCATTTGTATAATGTGTCTTAGGTATTTAAGTACAAAACAGCAATGGAGAAGCACAAGATCTTTATCTCGGGCCTGCCGTACACGTGCACTAAAGAGACACTGGAGGATCTCTGTAAACAGCACGGCACAGTGAAAGCCATCCGGCTGGTCACCAACCGTTCTGGCAAACCCAAGGTGTGTAGGCCTCTGTCATTAACATAAATATACAGTTATCCAGTATCCTGCAAAATATAGCACATATCGACAGCACTAATATATATATGTGTATATATATAAGCCCCGCCCCTCACCTCACGTTATGTCATCTTATATTTCATACGGTGTTGTTCAGTTGATCGGTGTGTGTCATCAAAGTACCGCGAAAGCGATTCGAAAGCATACAGAGCCATCTGCTCACTAAAACTCGTGGTATTTTGAGGTCATACACCGATCAATCTGTGCAGCTCCGCTTCAAGTCGAACACACCTATACAGTTGATTTGTGACGAACATGATGCAGGTCAACAACTCACTGCGCGATGCAACCTTTATAATGCAGTTATATGCCCCTAAAATTAAAGAGATTAAAAGCATAAAAGGGCAAAAAAACATTGCAATATAACATGAGCACAAGTGCAAATGTGATAATTGATTTTATACAACAGTTCAATAAATAAGAACTTAATGTTATATTTTAGACACAATATTGTCTGCTTTTGCTCAGTTTTGCCAATGCAAATGTTACCTCTTAAAGCCACAGTAAAACTGTTGTGCATCTCCTAGCAACACAATTTCTGAATAAATTCGCAATTTGAAGGAAATGAATGAGTGAATAAATGACTCGGATTTATTCATTAAGACATTTACTGCCACCTACTGGTGGTTTTAGTTTCTTATTTAGAGTATCATTTATTTAAAAATTATTTCATATTTACGTATGAATAAAAATCTGGGGAAAAAAAACATTAATAAAAAAAGTAAAAGAGAGTTCAAATTTTTGTAATGACTATTTCATGCTTTTCTCATGTAACAAAATAATGTCTTTAAATTAAATTATCTTTTGTGGGTAATTTCTTATCCAGATTTGATGTGCGATTAATTAATCGCCACATCGTGTAATTAATTTGATAAACAATTTTAATCGATTGACAGCCCTTATACAGTATCTCACAGAAGTGAGTACACCCCTCACATTTTTGTAAATATTTTATTATATCTTTTCATGTGACAACACTGAAGAAATGACACTTTGCTACAATGTAAAGTAGTGAGTGTACAGCTTGTATAACAGTGTAAATTTGCTGTCCCCTCAAAATAACTCAACACACAGCCATTAATGTCTAAACCGCTGGCCACAAAAGTGAGTACACCCCTAATGGCACTTTTCCACTGCGTGGTACGACTCGGCTCGGTACGGCTCAGTACGGCACGGCACGGCTTGGCTTGGCACGGTTTGCGTTTCCACTGCAGTTCAGTACCGCTTTAGAGTGGGCGGGATTATTCACATGTCGTTATAGTTGCGCCGCCTCTACTACCACGACTCCTAAAAAAAACCTTTTTCATTCCGAGTCGCCCCATCAAGCTCTCGCTGGATCCGCTCCTCTGCTATCAACGAGAGGAACGTCTGTTCTTCCGCAACAGACAACAAAACTTTTTGGTAGTTAAAAAAAAGGTGCGCTCGTTCAAAACAGTTGCATTCGATCCTTCGCTGGCTGTGCTGATTTAAATCTAGCGGTTCTTTTGTGTTTGTGTCGCAAGTTCAGTGACGCAGGTAGTGACGATTCTCTCCGGCCAATCCGTGATCAGCAGAGTTTACACGTCACGTTTTGGTAACGGTACGGTTCGTCTCGGTTCAATTTCGATTTATCGTGCAGCCCTAATGTACGTTCCCTTCGAACTGGAATCATGGCAGAATATCCTGTGAAGTCCACTTCGCAGGGCAATTACGGTCGAATAGAACAAACCTCTGAAGTGATAAGAGAAATGTACGAAATGTGCAGAGCGGGAGTTGCGAGGAACAAGATTAAGAACTGCTGCTTAATAGCATTGCGTCTCACCAACTAGGTGACAATGTAGCGCTAAATCACCATTCAACAGACTCAAGCCACCACCGCACAAATTAGTTTAGTAACTTACCATTGAGACACCGCTTGAATGCTGCTGCCTGAACAAGAGACCTCCTTACTGAAGTGAAAGGGTTGGCTGGTGTCACTTAGGGGGTGGATGACCCAAATCTTATTTCACGGTATGATACATTTTATTTAATGATAACGATATATATATAACTTGATATGGCTATTTTTATTTTATTTTATTTTTTATATTAAAAATAAGACCAAAAAAAAGCAAATTACACACACAATAGAACAAATAAATATGAAATAAACTTTTAATTTATTCAGCTACAGTAGGCTAGGTTTATTGAACATGTAAGAAATATTACAGAAATTGAATAAAGTGTATAAATAAAACACTGCATAGTCTTCACTGTATCAATCAAACATGAACATGATTCTTATTAAAGATCCAAAAGTGATTCAGGCAAGTGCAGTGAGTGATTAATAATGACAGACAGTAGCAGGTAAATAAGGCTGCTGTCCCTTTAAAGCCAACTGCACGGATCCAATATACTGATACACATCCTGTTTTCACCCAACTGTTTACGTTTATTTAACACATAACCGACTGTGTTTACGTGAATACGCCTTACGACAGGCATTTTGACATTGTGTGCGTATTTGACCATTCAAGCATGAAAGAAATCTGTTTTCGTGAGAGCATGCAAGGGGCTTTCAGTGTGCGTGCTTCGGCTGTGTGTCAGTCAGCGTGAGCACCACATTGAGTTCTTTTTCACTGCTTATGGCAGTTTATCAAGTGTGTCCCACTCTTTTTCTCATTCATGCATATTTCCTTGTCACTCAAAGGTGTATATAACTTTTAAGTAGTATTATGTAACGCAGATATATTTGCATACCACGGAACACACGATATAGCAATATATACCGTCATACCGCCCAGCCCTAGTGTCATTATCTCACGAATGTGGTGGCGGATCTCCACCAAATTCGGGGGATCCCTTCAGCTCGAGGAGCCCTCTCGAATGCCACCCTCTGCGTGTCGGTATCGGGCTATCAACGCGGGGGTGGTCTCATTTGTAAAGGGGGCCTCGAGACGTACACTCGATTCGGTGTTCGAGAGGGCTCCTCGAGCTGAAGGGATCCCCCGAATTTGGTGCGGATCCGCCGTGCCGTTGCGGAGATATGACATGTTCAAAGTTTCAATGGTATTCCATACACTTAAGCTTTAAAGCATTTCATCCAGGTTGCCAGTAGCAAACAATGGAGCGTGCTCTGCTGGACAAACTCGTAATTACACCATTTACAAGCATTTTATGTGTTTTATGTTCTGTAAAAAAAAAGTTCATATCGGTGGTATATATACGCCGATATATACAACATATACGCCGATGTGATATATCTGCGACAGGCTCATATCGGCCGATAAAATCTGAAAAAACGATATATCGGTCGGGCTGTACTCATGATCTGGTGTTTTCAGTGTCTCAGAGTGACTTGGTTTGCAGTAAATGCTGCTCCACCAAACTCATCTCTGCATGTGCTGAGAGTTTGGGTTGCTTATAATGTGCATTTGAGAACACAACATGCACCAGCCGTTACACCAGATTTGTAATGAGAAGCAATTATAAACCTGAAACTTTGAGGGCTCCCCACAGTTTTGTGCAAAAAAGAAAGCTTGAGTTTTGAAAGTAAAGAAATGAGATAAGTATTAATATTGTAATTTTACTATAATACTATAAAATAGAATTACTATTATGTTTCTTAAATATTCACATTAAATAGGTTAAATTACATTTTTAAATCAGTTGATTTATCAGAAAAATTGCAATTACATTTTCCCACCCAAATCGTGCAGCCCTACTATCATACATCATTTTCTGACAAAGCCTTTTGTGGTTCACATTTGTTTTATAGCGGACATATTCCATATTTCACAACAGAGAGTAGTGGCTATGATCCTTCATATGAAAAGATGAAAGGAAAATAAAACAAGTCCACCAAATACTAGAGGAAATGAGAAGTTGCACAATAATTTATTACACACAATAATAAAATACCTTTTACAAGTAGTAAAATAATTTAAAGCTATGTTTAAATAGGTTAAAGTGCTTGACAATAGTGGCAAACTCAAAATGTCAATCAAAAAAAATAAATGAATGAAAATCCCTTATTTTATTATTAATAAAACTTTTCAACACTCCTGTAATCAATACATCTTCCCAAATAAAATTCTGAACAGCTGTATGCAATTATTTTAATATTCCTTGCATCATGTATCAGAATAATTTCAAATGGAAAATGACTTTTTTTTTTTTTACATTCCAAAGCACTTTAGTAACATCTCAAAATAAATGATCTTTTAAACAAAACTTTAAAGAACCTCAAAATTGAAAAAGTCATGGACTATAAAAGGTTAAAGGTTAACTGTTACTCAAACTGGGTTTGTCAGACACTCGTTTTTGAACATGACATTTCCTGGCTGTAACCTGCCAGCTTTAAGTGAGAAATGTGTCCAACAAGCTGTAGCGTTCACAAAATATATTTCAGCCAGTAAACCATCACTTAAAAACTGCACTCTTCACATTTCACAGACCTGTTCTTTTTACAAGCAATCTTCATAATAGATTAACTCAATCTTGCTTTTTGAGACTAGAAAAAGTCCAAGTATAGAGATAAACACCACAAAAGTATGAGTATGTATACTGTTCCCAACAGACAGCAGAGATCATTTATGCCACATTAACTCACAAGCAGAAGGATTTAGTTGCTAAAGGATCTGAAGATCTGACCTAATACGGTTCATTCAGTGGAAAAGAAAATTTTAAACGGACAACAAAGTAGAGGCTAAAATATGACATTTTGAACAGTCTATATTTCAAAATAAAAAACAAACAAAGGATTTGTAATGGATATAGCTACACAGTAAATGCACAAACTTAAAATGGATCCACAATTAGTCCATGTAGGTCCCATGCTAGCAGTATAAGGTTGGAGAGTGATTCATTACAGAGGCTGATATGGCCCATATGGCACTTAAATTTAGACCACATGCAAACTTTTTGCATCTATGAACATGCATCCATCAGCTATGCACAGGTATGGTGTGTTTACAGTCAGGACAGGCGTGATTACTAGCCCCAGGCAGCCCAACTGCATGCTCGGTTGTGGCTATCAGGAGCGTATCAAGTGTAATTTCTGTGCATTTTGCGATAAAGCGAATAAAGGGCCTTACGTCGCCCTCATTGGCAGTATCCAGGGTGGCGTAATACTCTGCCCTCTGCTCTTTCCGAATGGTGATCGGCGGATAACTAGCTTGCATTAGGATTAAATTCATGAGCAGTCGGGATGTCCGTCCGTTCCCGTCCACGAACGGATGCACGTAAACCAGTTTATAGTGTGCGAGAGCTGCGAACTCCACCGGGTGTAGATGCAGCGCTTCCTCGGAGTTCAACCACTGCACCAGCTCCTGCATGTGCCTGTCCAAGTCCTGCGGGTGCGGTGGGATGTGATGTCCCACAAACACCTGGCTGGCACGGAATCTGCCGGCTTCAATGGGATCGGCGTAGCCTAGTACCCGTCGGTGTATCTCTAAGATGTCATTTACAGAGATTGCTCCAGCGCGGGACAGTAAGGTGGCATTGATGTACTTCATGGCTACATCGACGCCAATTGCCTCGTTCTGTTCTTGTAGACTCTTTCCTGGTACAGCATATCTGGTCTCAATAATATGGCGAATCTCCGACAGAGTGAGCGTGTTGCCTTCGATAGCTACAGTGTGGTAAATATGATGGTAGTAGGTTTCCTCCATGACTCGACGCAAAGCAGAGTTGCCTTTGGGTATAGACATGAGACGTCGTACCTTTCCATCAATGATACCAAAGTGGCGTTGATCTATTTCCTCTACTAATGGGAGCGTGCGATCCCTGCTCACCAGAGCCTTCTCGTTACAGGGCGAGATGGCGAGGGCCTTGGTGTACAGGTGGTCTGCTTGGACAACATCTTTTTCCTCCTCCAGTATGGTGCCCAATTCAGTGAGTGCCTCCACAAACTCTGGGTTCATGTTGAGCGCGTGGACGAGCAGCTTATGAGCCTTCTCCCTCTTGCCATTTTTCTTCATCTCCAAAGCCTGCTGGAGAGCCGCCTTTGCCTCCAACTGAGTCTCTGTAAACAAACAGATGGTCAGCGTTTCACAGTATGACATTCCAGCTGAGAGACGCATAATCAATAGACACTAACACTTGAAAGTAAGTTTCATTTTTAATAATTTTTCATAGTTGTATCTGTTTAATCTAAATTTACGACAGTAAATTGCATGTAAACCTAAGTTCTAATGAGCATAATCTAACGAGTAAGATTTCAACTTTGGCCACAGAGAATTAAATGCCTTTTGTAAACCTTTTTAATTCCATTACTGAACATATATAACAAGATTAGAACAGGAAATTCAATAACAAAAGTGAGACTTGATTGACTGATAATTGACTGAACCGTAAAGAAATGGGCATTTTCAGAAGTGTTACTGCTGTTAATTTAAATAAAGCTGAAATAAAATATAAATATTAGCTGAAAAATGTCAAATTAAAGAAATGTAAACAAAAATTAAATTCATATAATTAATTCTAAGATGAATAACAAATTAATCATTTTAATTTTTTTGTTTATATTTTATGATATGTCCTATGTAGAGGACACCAGGACTCAGTTAATAAGAAAATGAAAACAAGACCCTATTATGAAAATGTTTTTTGTTTTTTTTTATATTACATTTGTATGTTCAATATACCAGTCAATTTTTAGGTTCCAGGCTATTTTTTCTTATAACTTGTCCTCTATAAAATGGATATTTAAATAATATTTATATTTTGTATTTTGTATGAATACTAGTGTCTGCACTTAAAAGGTGTTTGATGGAAATCAACTCCAGGAAACTTCCACCTGAAACAAACTTGGATCTGTACAAAGATTTGTACAAAGATTCTCAACTATGGTATGAAAGACTATTAGGCTGGGTTTTCCTATTATAATCAACGCATCTATTAATTGTCTCTAATTTGCATATTAAAGTGCCCCTATTATGGATTTTTGAAAACTACCTTTCATGCAGTGTGTAATACAGCTCTAAGTGACTGAAAACATCCTGCCAAGTTTTAAATCTGAAAGTGCACCGTGTATAAAGTTATTGTCTCTCAAAAGAAAGAGTCAACTCTGAATCACTGAAACGAGTCATTTTTAAAACGAATCCCAAAGCCGTTTCATGTTGACGTCAACATGAAACAGTAGTATTATTGCCTGCCCATTTGTTGGTCTTTTTGCGTTGGTCTGAATGAAAATGCAAATTCATTCTTTGCCACTAGGTGCGCTTTTGGAGCGGTAAAAATAGCTGTTTCCCCGGTAACGCTGTACACAAAGCAGCACTGCGCTCACAAACGCTGCTTTATCAGGCATTACAGGCATGATGAAATGAAAATGAGACCTATCGGACCAATCACCGCAGATTTGCGTCACGCAAAGGAGGGGTTTGGAGAAATTAATCGTTAAACGAATCGTTTGGGAGTCGTTGAGCAAGTAAGGTCAAAATAAATGCATATTATAAGACAATGAAAGTGTTTTTTGACCTTGCATGCATGTCAACCTGTTGTTGGGGACTCCCAAAACCAAAATATGAACCTTTCATTATCCATAATAGGGGCACTTTATTGTGTTTTTTGGGCAACATGCAATGAAAAAATAAGTATAATAACGAAAATTAAACATTTTCATATAACATCTCATATTTCATAGAAATACTGATATGTAATTTTTTTCCCCATTAATTTATTATGTCTCCCTAAAATACCTGATAAGCATGAAGTATGTCCTGGTGTCCACTATAGTGGACATGTATGAAATTGATGCATGTTTCACAACAGAAAGACATATTCTGCTTTGAATTTACAACAAAATTAGTCAGATTTAAATAATAATTTCAAAATATTATCATATTTCCATAAGAGTGCTGAATTTAGTCATACAGTCAATGTCTGTCATATTTAAAGACCAAGGAGGTGGAGTTGTCATGGTTAAACGTCCAATCAATTGTTATCTCCGAAAAGCCCTGAATGTGTTCGAAACGGGACATGCAGATGTAAAACTGTGGCATGTATGGTCTCAAGAGAAATTTGCTCAAATATAATGTCCTCTACAGAGGACAAAACTCTATGCCTGGGTCCCAGGAGGATAAGATTAAGACATAAGATGATAAAGTATAAAAGTTTTAATTTAGAGTAACATGCATAAATAAATGCACTTTAGAAAGTCAATAACCAATTTAAATAGATGACATTCAGCCACTCAACGACACAAAGTCAACAGCAGCTTCAACTGTACCTTTACTGGCCTTGACTTTCTGTGGCAGGAGGTCTAGTGCAGTGAAAGGGACCGTCAGGCTGGTGGTGTGCACTACTGGCCGCTGGACACCCCCCCACAGCTGGCAGCGCAGAAGAGCAAGGCCCTTCAGAGTGGCACAGCATTGCTCCTCTATTCCTGCTAAAGGCAGCAGCAGAACGAATACAGACCCCAGCAGACCAAACAGAACGGGTCCCCAGCCCCAGAGCAGAGAACCACTGCAAGCATGACGGAACACAGCTAGAGCTGCCATCAATCAAGGGATCCAGATTTCACAGGCCACGTGTCCAACATTCTTGCAAGACACTATCTGAAAACCCGTGTGAAAAGTAAAAAAAGAAGGTTAAGCATTAAAATGTTCAATCAGGTTTATTGTCATTTTTCTCCAGCCTAATGTGAGCCAGGTGGCTCTTGGGAGCTTGACAGTTTATGAAACAGTCTTAAATCAAGTGATTTGTAACCACATTTACAACAATCTCTCATGTTGTTTCACAGACTGAAGATGAGAGCAAAATGTACCTATGGTCAAACATAGTCGTTTACATCTTTGAAACCACCTAAACCTGTATTTGATATGTATAGCTGTCCTATATGCCGTAACTAAACACGCTGGCATTTAAATATTATTATAACTGTAATATTTAACACACTAGGTAAATACTTGTAATATTGCAGAACAAGATATTTGTCCACCTGACTCCAGAAATATCACATTATGGCAGACAGTCCCCGACTACAGCAGTTCATGACAAGTCATGACACTATTCATGCATTTCTACAGAAAAACCTTCACCAAACCCTAAAACCGGCGGCAAACTACGTACTTTATAAAACAAGAGGCAAAGTTTCAGACATACCTTACCGGTTAATGATGTGTTATTCTCACTAGAAATGATGGATATGATCAGAAATGTTTCCACTTGGTGTTAGCAACGTCAACTTCCGCGAAACAGACATGGCCGTAAGGATGATATTGATTGGTTGATTTTACTGGGTATGTGCTTACTGATTGGTTAGATGTTTGCTGCACACGCTCGTGCAGCAACACGGTTTTCAGATCGTAGAACTATATGATTGGACAAGACGCTCTATTGAATCCATGTCAATATGCAAGCATTTTGACCGTTATTATTTCAGCAGAGATATTTAGTTACCTATATAATAATAATAATAATAATAATAACAACAGCAACAACTTAAAACTGAATGTTTTAGAGCGCCTTTAAAAGTTGCATCTCAAAGCACTTTACAAAAATAAAAAATAAAAATACATTGAAATAAATCAAAATAAAAACATGCATCAAAACTAATGTAAAATATAATTTAATTTAATTAATAAATAATAACAACAATAATGATAATTTTAAAAAAGATTAGTAAGATTAGTAAGAACGATTAGTTTCGCCTTAAATTAACGAAAGTTTTATTTATTTATTTTTTACTAATGGGAGTTTTGCTTCCTTTTATTTCAAATATTCTCCCAAGGCGAAGTAGAATCCACTCTCTCACACTAGGGGTCAGTATTGCCTCGGTAATAAAAGTAATCAAATAAATGACAGTTCTTGTTTTATTTCTTCATTTAAAATCTTGGAAATCTTAGACTGGAGGATGGACATCGCCCTTACAACACATCCCTACAACATATACCACTAATATATTAATTATTGTCTACAAATATGTGGATTTTGATATTTTGTCGAAATAAAACTAATCCATAACTAATCCATTTCTTTCAGTGTGAAGAATCTTTGACGCATAAAGCACAGGTATACAAAACAATACAATAACTTCATATAATTTATACTAGTGTAATGTGTGCTGTCATCTCATCAATACTTCTTGACATGTTTTACTTTATTTATGAGGACCTTTTCACAAGTTTTCACAAATCTGCACACCTACACAAACACACATCAGTATTAGGGTGTGTGTCGTGGTCAAGAAGGCAATAACTGTGCAAAGTGATTTATTTATTTAGTTGTTTATTTAACAGGGACAATGCAGAATAACATTGCAGATGCTCTACATACAGGCTTCTAGCCAATGGATAAAGCAATGCATGAAAAACCTTTAGAGAGGCATCTAGAGACGCTATAATCATACCTGTCAACCCTCCCGTTTTTCCCGAGATTCTCCCGTATTTTACCATTCTACCCCGCTATCATCCCGTTTAAATATGTTCCCGTATTTCTCCCGTATTTTTAATCTTTCTATAAAAAAAAATCCCACTGGTCTTATTTTATATGTTTGCTACATTCGCTTCCGGTAAAACTCCCGTAATTTGTATGGCCCAAACCTCATTATACGAATAATCACGTCAACAAATTCCAAGGTTGTTGCCAGATCTTGTATGAAACGCATCTTTCTCACACGATCGACGCATACAAGTTTCAACCGATTTATCCCCTCAACTTGGCAACCTACAACCCAGTGATGCTATTGATATGTGCGCAGGTAGGCTACGGCGGGAGGGAAACAAGGATCACTGGTAGAAATGGGAGGAGAAGACTCAGGTGGTGCTCCGGTGAAAAAAAAAAAGTAAATTGAGATATAGCTTACACTTCAAAAGGCTATGGTTTAATTGATTAAAAATGAGCGCTGCAAGTTTCAAAGTCAGCTGCTGCACTGCTTTGTTTACTGCGGTTACCAGGGAAACGGCTATATTCATGGCGAAAAGCGCCACCTGCTGGCAGAGAATGAATTTGTATTTTTCAATAAACCCTTACACTCTTTGTTTAGAGTAGACCAAAAACAAAAACGACCCTTATTTTTACGCAGAAAACAAACAGTTGTAAATGTGAACCGGTGGATTGACAAGAAGATAAAACTCTAAAGATAAAGCCTAAACTAAGATATGTTTATATGTTAGTAAATTAATATAATTGTTTGATAATAATTGTTTAAATTAATATAATAAATTAATAATAATATAATATAATAATTGATACTTTTGACTCCGCCCCACCACGGTCGCCGGTATTTTGATACCCGAATGTTGACAGGTATGATAATCATGCTTTCACTGAAATTACATTGGGAATAATCTCAATCATGATTTCACACCAGTGCTTCAAAATTTAAGGTCGGGTGGTCCACCTGCGGAAATAAAGTATGAATCACAGCATATAATAAGAGCAGTGTGCCTCATTCCTCTATAAAGCAATAAGCCTCTGGGCAGCAATGGGAAATTTCTAATACATGTTGTTGATGTAATTGTTTTTTAAATTTTTTATCAACAACACTAACATTCCTGCCTCGGGCTTAGAGGATTTCAGGGCATCATACATTATTGCTTGTGTTACATTGCACATTATAGATCCAACAAATCATCACTTGTAAACTTTGAGTAATCATATTCAAAACCTTCCCCACACCTCTCCCTTAATTATTCATAAGATGGTTTGTTTGTGTGTGATCAGCTTGCATGAGTATGTTTTGTACAGTTCATAAGGGCGCATAATGAAAGCTTTTAGTGATAGATGGGTCCAGGGGTTACCATGGAAATGCAGAGATGTGGAATATATGTCTAGACAGGAGGTCACAGAGACGAAAGAATAGGAAAATATTTTCTGTCTGTTTTGCCTGGGCATATTTCACTTTGATTTGTGACATTGTTTTTAAGAAATGTTGTTCATATTCATGTTTAGAAGGATCCATTTAATGTATTTAGAAAAAAAATCCCAATAACACCATAACTATCAGGAGACATAAAGAACAATGTTCCATTCTAAAAGACAGTGTGGGAGTGTGTTCAGAGAAATCAGCAGCAAGAAGGGGAGGATGAAAATCCAGCGTTTTGTGGGTTAATTGGGTTGTTAGTTGTGGGTTGTTACATTTACATTTACATTTACATTTAGTCATTTTGCAGATGCTTTTGTCCAAAGCGACTTACAATTGGGGGATACATAAAGCGATTCTTCTTAAAGAGGCAAACAGATACAGGAAGTGCTTGTAATACCAAGTTTCTAGACATTGTTCAAATAAGTACAAGCTAGAAAGAGAAGGAATAAATAAAGAGAGAGATTTTTAAAAAAAATTTTTTTATGATGATGATGAAGTCAAGTAGCTTCGAAAGAGATGAGTTTTCAGCTGTCGCTTGAAAATTGTCAGGGATTCAGCAATTCATGTTAAATGAATTGCCCTAGGTTATCATGGCTAATTTTGTAATTTGATCTTGAGTTTATCTGCTCCTGCTGTGGAGTCTCATTCTACTCAACCCGTCTGGAACTGCCAGCCTGAGCAAACAAGATAAAATAAACAGAAAAACATGACAGGAAACGATCCAATTATTAACGTAACTGGTTCCCTGAGATAAGGGAACAAGCATTGCATCGCTGACGCTTTAAGGGAAACTCCTGTTTACTCTGTTACTTTGTTCACGTTTGTGTAGCTGCACAAACCAGAAGGGGAGGAGCCGACCTCTATAAAAGTCGGCTCCTGAAGCGCTTTGGGGTAACGCATCCAATAGAGCCGTGCTATAAGCAGATGCAGAACAAAGCCGTTCTGCGAGCCCAGCCCTGGAGCACCCATACTGATGACTCCTATAAGCATGAGGCAATAATGAGACCCAAGCCATTCTGGCTGGGGACTACATAATATAACCCTCTCCACTCACAAGGGGATTGGGTAGAGTTAAGCGGACAGAATCCATGCCTGCAGGGCAGAGACATCCAGGTTATAAAACCTAGTGAAGGTAGAAGGCGACGACGGCCGCACAGATATCACCAATAGAAATCCCACTGGACCATATATATATATATATAAAGTGGAGATCAAAAGACAACAATCTATAAATCCTTGATTTTTTTAATTAATCTTTTGTTAATCTTTATTGTTAATCTTCATTGCTCAGAATTTGAAGGAATATTAGCTGTGGGTATACCACTGTTAAAATTAATATGTTTCAGCAAAAAACTTTATTTTGTGGAAAACACAGTGATCAGAATTAGAGAACAGTAACCATTGTTGCACATAATAAGATTACATCAAAATGTTGATGCCTAGAACATAGTGTTTCCCATCTGACTCAAATAAATTAAACTTGCTCCAATCACTAAAGTGAACTTTGGACCAGTTCTCCTCTGTCTTAAATATGCGAGGCATATCCTTACCCTTACCCTTCATCGCTGAACTGGCAAGCAATTCCAGCTGCAGTGTTGAACCGATTCCCCATTGAGAGTCTCTGCATTGTCCTGTCTTCTCGTGCATGTCTTACATGGACGACCAGCCTTTTTGGGGGACTTGAATGAATTTGTGTCATTGTAAAGCTGCAACATTCTAGAAATCACATATTTGGAATGACCAGCTTCTCTTGCAGTGGCTGAAAGGGTCATCCATTTGGCCTTCATCTGGATGCCTCCTGTTGCAGGGTTTCAGTCACCATAGAGTGGCCTGCCATTTTGCAATCTTAGTGAAAATTAGAGGAATGGTGCCAGTTAAATAGGGTTTGTCACATAATTATGGAAGTTAGCAACAGGTGCCAGATTAACACCAGTAACTTGGAGGTATCTGTAAGTGTTCTCCAAGTTATTTTTCAAATATGTAATTTAAGGTTTTTTATATTGTGCTTCAGAATACAATTAATTTATAACTGCCCTTTTACTCCTGTTAGGATAACTTAAAGTAGTGACCTTGAAATGTTACTTTTTAGTGATGTTTTCATAAAGATATACACAGTATACTAGAAACAATTCTAGGCACTTCAATTGATTGCAGTTTTGAGGTACTATATTTGGGCATTGTGCCGGTGGTTTCCATGGGAAAGGAGGAACAAATACATGTTTAATATTTCTTGCATCAAGCAAAAAAGCCATAACTAGATACTGGTATAAACTTAATCCACCACAAATAAAGGACTGGATTGATGTTTTTAAAAGTAATTTCAATATGGAGAGAATTAGATTTTATGTGAATTTTCAGAAGGATTTGTTTGTTGATTTCTGGTCTAAATGGATTGAGTATAACCATACCTGTCAGTCCTCCCGATTTCCATTCTATCCCGCTATCATCCCGTTTAAATATTTTCCCCTATTTCTCCCCTATTTTTAATCTTCCTATAAAAAATCCCACTGGGCGTATTTTATGTTTGCTACATTCGCTTCCGGTAAACTCCCGTAATTTGTATGGTCCAAACCTCATTATACGAATAATCACGTCAACAAATTCCAAGGTTGTTGCCAGATCTTGTATGAAACGCATCTTTCTCACACGATCGACGCATACAAGTTTCAACCGATTTATCCCCTCAACTTGGCAACCTACAACCCAGTGATGCTATTGATATGTGCGCAGGTAGGCTACGGCGGGAGGGAAACAAGGATCACTGGTAGAAATGGGAGGAGAAGACTCAGGTGGTGCTCCGGTGAAAAAAAAAAAGAAAATTGGGATAAGCTGCTGCACTGCTTTGTTTACTGCGGTTACCGGGGAAACGGCTATATTCATGGCGAAAAGCGCCACCTGCTGGCAGAGAATGAATTTGTATTTTTCAATAAACCCTTACACTCTTTGTTTAGAGTAGACCAAAAACAAAAACGACCCTTATTTTTACGCAGAAAACAAACAGTTGTAAATGTGAACCGGTGGATTGACAAGAAGATAAAACTCTAAAGATAAAGCCTAAACTAAGATATGTTTATATGTTAGTAAATTAATATAATTGTTTGATAATAATTGTTTAAATTAATATAATAAATTAATAATAATATAATATAATAATTGATACTTTTGACTCCGCCCCACCACGGTCGCCGGTATTTTGATACCCGAATGTTGACAGGTATGATAATCATGCTTTCACTGAAATTACATTGGGAATAATCTCAATCATGATTTCACACCAGTGCTTCAAAATTTAAGGTCGGGTGGTCCACCTGCGGAAATAAAGTATGAATCACAGCATATAATAAGAGCAGTGTGCCTCATTCCTCTATAAAGCAATAAGCCTCTGGGCAGCAATGGGAAATTTCTAATACATGTTGTTGATGTAATTGTTTTTTAAATTTTTTGTTATCAACACTAACATTCCTGCCTCGGGCTTAGAGGATTTCAGGGCATCATACATTATTGCTTGTGTTACATTGCACATTATAGATCCAACAAATCATCACTTGTAAACTTTGAGTAATCATATTCAAAACCTTCCCCACACCTCTCCCTTAATTATTCATAAGATGGTTTGTTTGTGTGTGATCAGCTTGCATGAGTATGTTTTGTACAGTTCATAAGGGCGCATAATGAAAGCTTTTAGTGATAGATGGGTCCAGGGGTTACCATGGAAATGCAGAGATGTGGAATATATGTCTAGACAGGAGGTCACAGAGACGAAAGAATAGGAAAATATTTTCTGTCTGTTTTGCCTGGGCATATTTCACTTTGATTTGTGACATTGTTTTTAAGAAATGTTGTTCATATTCATGTTTAGAAGGATCCATTTAATGTATTTAGAAAAAAAATCCCAATAACACCATAACTATCAGGAGACATAAAGAACAATGTTCCATTCTAAAAGACAGTGTGGGAGTGTGTTCAGAGAAATCAGCAGCAAGAAGGGGAGGATGAAAATCCAGCGTTTTGTGGGTTAATTGGGTTGTTAGTTGTGGGTTGTTACATTTACATTTACATTTAGTCATTTTGCAGACGCTTTTGTCCAAAGCGACTTACAATTGGGGGATACATAAAGCGATTCTTCTTAAAGAGGCAAACAGATACAGGAAGTGCTTGTAATACCAAGTTTCTAGACATTGTTCAAATAAGTACAAGCTAGAAAGAGAAGGAATAAATAAAGAGAGAGATTTTTAAAAAAAAAATTTTTATGATGATGATGATGAAGTCAAGTAGCTTCGAAAGAGATGAGTTTTCAGCTGTCGCTTGAAAATTGTCAGGGATTCAGCAATTCATGTTAAATGAATTGCCCTAGGTTATCATGGCTAATTTTGTAATTTGATCTTGAGTTTATCTGCTCCTGCTGTGGAGTCTCATTCTACTCAACCCGTCTGGAACTGCCAGCCTGAGCAAACAAGATAAAATAAACAGAAAAACATGACAGGAAACGATCCAATTATTAACGTAACTGGTTCCCTGAGATAAGGGAACAAGCATTGCATCGCTGACACTTTAAGGGAAACTCCTGTTTACTCTGTTACTTTGTTCACGTTTGTGTAGCTGCACAAACCAGAAGGGGAGGAGCCGACCTCTATAAAAGTCGGCTCCTGAAGCGCTTTGGGGTAACGCATCCAATAGAGCCGTGCTATAAGCAGATGCAGAACAAAGCCGTTCTGCGAGCCCAGCCCTGGAGCACCCATACTGATGACTCCTATAAGCATGAGGCAATAATGAGACCCAAGCCATTCTGGCTGGGGACTACATAATATAACCCTCTCCACTCACAAGGGGATTGGGTAGAGTTAAGCGGACAGAATCCATGCCTGCAGGGCAGAGACATCCAGGTTATAAAACCTAGTGAAGGTAGAAGGCGACGACGGCCGCACAGATATCACCAATAGAAATCCCACTGGACCACACCCAGGTGGAGGCCATTCCTCTGGTGGCGTGGGCCTCAC